TGCCCATTCAGTATGATATTGGCTGTGGGTTTGTTCTTTGTTCAGTTTTAACTGTCTCTTGGGAATCCTATTTACCTGGTTGGCAAACGATTTCTTTTTTCCTGTAGATGTACACCTATTATCTAAATTATAGCACATTTAAAATTAATAAAATGTTTAATAATGAAATATTTCTTTATATTGCAGTTATTCGTTTGAAATGCCATTTAAATGCTTCTCTGCATCTAACATTTAGAAGCCATTGCTCCTTTTGTAGGCTGGACAGAGAGCTCCAAACAATTGATTGAAATGAGATTTTTAAATATTCTTTTATTTTCCTTTATTTTGATATTCAGCTAAATCGAATGTAGAAAAGTTTAGCTGTTTGCATTATGTTTTTAAAGAATAATCATATACCTTTGTGTGTCACATGTCAACTAACATGCCAAAATTAGTTATTGAAAAATATGATTAATTCTCATAGACTGCCATGAGAAGTAAGAAAATTTCAACTATTGTGTGCTTATTTTTACCCTACAGGTGAGAAAACTAAGGCAAACATTCCTAACTTGTCTAGAGCACAGTAAAGAACTTGGATATCCTAAAGTTTTGCCCTTAGTTTTAATTTTATTAGATGATAATATTGGTTTATTTTCATAAAGTGATGACTTAAAACTAGATGAATGGAATAATTAAAATCTCTCTTGTTAAGAAATTACACAGTAATCATTGTGTATAAATTAATAGATTTTAAAGGTTAAAATATTTACAGAGTAATTTGGGTTTCTTATGTATCAAGATAGTTAATAATCAAGAATCATAGTTTTGCTTCAGGCAATCATTTCCTCTAACAGTTAACCTCTAGGAAAGCAACAGGAAGAATTTATTCTTATTTGCAAGAATTTTTTCTCCTAGGATGTACCGCTAAGGCTGCATAATAACAATAAAAATAATGAGAAGACTTTTAAATGGAAAAGAATACTTGACTTCTGTTGGAATAGTTTACTGAAGGAAATCTTCCCTGAAAAGCTTTCAAAAGAGTACCTGTATAGAAATGTTTTAAGATATAGGTTTTTCTAGAGTTAGTGAATTTGCTTCATGTAAATACATTAAATCCTTTGGTTCTTAATGACCTGGCTAGTCCCATTGTACACTGTTATTAGAATTTCCCTTTGAGAAAATACTGTGTTCCTTTTTGAAAACATGATGCTGAACGAATGGTAGAGAACACGAAAACACAAGAGGCAGACAGATTGAAGGCAGTGTGTGAAAAAAAAATAGACAAAGATGAAAATCTTTAGCCTGTTGACTAATTGTAGACTGTCTGTGTTTTGCATTTTTTATTTTCCTAATGAGCTACCAGATAGTTTTCTTTCAGAAATAACCTTTATTAAAGTTGTTGAATTCAGACTTGGAAATTGTTGCTTACTTCAGTTTTTGAAACTCGTTTTATAAAAAACTCCAAATAACATGGGATCTCTCTGACCTTTTTCATACTTTGTGTCATCTAACCAAATGAAGTATTTTATATAATTTTTTCTTTAAAGAATATAAAAAGCAATCTAAACATGAAACTTTATGCATTTGGTGGCAGTTGTCTGGAGTGGTAAACCCAAAGATGTCATTTCTTTTTTTTTTTTTTTCTTTCTTTTGAGACGGAGTCTCGCTCTGTCGCCCAGGCTGGAGTGCAGTGGCCGGATCTCAGCTCACTGCAAGCTCCACCTCCCGGGTTTACGCCATTCTCCTGCCTCAGCCTCCCGAGTAGCTGGGACTACAGGCACCCGCCACCTCGCCCGGCTAAGTTTTCATATTTTTTAGTAGAGACGGGGTTTCACCGTGTCAGCCAGGATGGTCTCGATCTCCTGACCTCGTGATCCGCCCGTCTCGGCCTCCCAAAGTGCTGGGATTACAGGCTTGAGCCACCGCGCCCGGCCCAAAGATGTCATTTCTAAGCAACTGAACACACTGGCTCTCCCTATAATTATCCAATATTAATATTGCGTCTCTTTTTTTTGTTTGTTTGTTTGAGACAGAGTCTCACTCTGTTGTCATGCTGGAGTACGGTGGCACTATCTTGACTCACTGCAACCTCCACCTCCCAGGTTCAAGCGATTCCTCTGCCTCAGCCTCCCAAGTTGCTGGGACTACAGGCACACGCCACCATGCCCAGTTAATTTTCTTTTCTTTTTTTTTTTTTTGGTATATTAGTAGAAATGGAGTTTCACCATGTTGGCCAGGATGATCTCAATCTCCTGACCTCGTGATCCGCCCATCTTGGCCTCCCAAAGTGCTGGATTACAGGCGTGAGCCACCACGCTCAGCCTGCATCTTTTAATTATTTAGAAATTTAGTTGCAAGCACACACATTCCATGTATAAAGGATAATGAAGAAAATAACATGTTTTTCAAACACTCATAAGGAATCTCAATTTTGACAGCCACGGACAGCATTTAGTGCTTTTACTTTCTGGAAGAAGAAATGTGTGGAAAGTAAGTAAATAAAAATATGAGGCAAAATCATTACATACACAGTAATACGCATATTTATTTCTATGTTTAAAGTGTAAGCCCAATTTTATCTTTTGTGTTCCACATGTTGTTTCTGTAGCAAGAACTTCCTTTATCATTCAGAGTGTCCAGAGGAGAGACAAAATGGGAAGGCAAAGCTTATCTCCCTTGGAATTATTTTCCACCAAATGTGACAAAATTCAATTCATTTGCAATTCATGGATCAAAAGATAAACGAAGTTATGAAGCTCTTTACCCTGTACCTCAGCATGAACTGCAACAAGGACAAAAACCTGATTTGTAAGTAGAAAATAAATGAAGATATATTCCAAATAAACGAGTTTTTTGGAAATTAAGTCTTAGTGGAGCAGAAGTAACCCTTTTGATCAAAGAAGATGACATATGTGCACAGGCACCTAGTAGAGTCCAATGTTCACTGATGGTCCTCAGAATATACTTGGTAAACTTTGGGCTGACATTCTCTCTCTCACTACTGTCAGTAGAACACTTATTTTTCCATAGTGGTTTGCATGTGAGAAAAGTAAATGTTGCAATAGCTGATATAGAAGTATGTTTGCAAATTCATTTAAAATTTCTTTCAGAGCTAAAGGCCCAGAGGCATCAGTGTTTCCAGGTGTGAACAAAGGGTCCCTGTTGCAAGGAAATCTGATCTTCAGTTATCTCTCTAGTTCTCCTCTTCTGGTAACCTCATAAGGATAAAAATATCAACTATGTTTCTAGGCAACATTGCTTATGATAAAAATGACCCTTAAGTGGTAAATTACATCTGGACTGAGAATAATTTTGGATGAACTATAAATATATGATGGAGACAGCGTGGCTTTGGGATTCCCCTTTAACAGTCATGTTCCCTGTGCGAACCCTGGAAGCTATGGCTATGGAGTTATTCCAAGAGATAATGCTCTCATGGGGCAGCAGGCATTTGAGCCAAGGTATCTGCTCTGCTTTCTCAATTTGAGTCTTGTTTCCTTGCACCTGTAGCTCTCACATAGGTAGACTAGAGCTCCTGGCCAGCCTTATGAATGCTTCCTGGACTTCTGCAAGGACTACTCCTTTAGGGAGGAAAGGCAGATGCTGTCCTGGGGCAAGCTGTGATTGCTGCTCTATATCTCTCTAGGTATACTCACCATGGCCAAGGTAGTCTGGTGAATCTGGGCATTTGGAAGAACCTAACAGAGACATCGTAGTGAGCACTGCACTATAGTAGACAGACATTCCTGCCTTTTTACCTGTGGAATGTGCTGCATTGTCCTTCCTCACCCTGTTTGCCTCCTCCTTCCTTTCATGCTCGCTCTTCATGCTTCTTTGTCTTTATCACTTCTAGCATATTTCTTTTTTGCTTGACCTTTTTTCCCCTTTTCCCTTTGCCTTTCTCCCCAGTCCTGACAGCTTTTACTTAGTCTTTTTTCCCCTTCCTTTTTCTTATCCTTGACATTTTTTTCCCCGTTTTTGCTTGACTTTTTTTTCCCCTTTTCCCTTTACCTTTCCCCCAGTCCTGACATAGCTTTTACCTAGTCTTTTTTTCCCTTCCTTTTTCTTATCCTTCACTGTTTTTTCCTTAATCTCTTACTCTGGGATTGACAACTATGACTCAAAAACTGATTTATCCTGGCCAGGTGGGCAGAATGAGACAAAAACATAGTTGCAACTGACTCAAGGTCCTCGTATCAAGATGTCATGTCTCCCTGGCTGTTCATCAGCTAATACCTTCCTGTATTCAGGCTCTTCATTCATACATTATTGGAAGCTTATCGGAGGTGGAAGTACGATTATACATTGGCCAGGACAGAGCCGAGGCAGAGTGACTGCCTACAGAGTGGGGCTCCACTGCAGCATGTTAGCTAAGCCTTTCTCTCCTCATTAAGCCACTAGAGAAAGCTTCTTAATATAGTTAAATGGTTTTCCTGGAAAGAAAAGAACTGGGATTAACACTCTTTTAATTAACCTCTGTTGCTTCGGCAGACAAGGGAATTAAGAAGTCTATCTTCTTATCTATGGAACTGAAACTTTTTAAAACCATTGCTTATATGACTGATATAAATTATGTCAAAATTTGAATATAAAAACATATGCAAGAGCATAATATGATTTGTTTAAAGTTGGATGGAATGAGTCATGTTTTGAGAGTTGGTTTCTCCCTTCAGCTGTGAGGGAGCTATTTGCAGAATTGAAAGAAGAGGGCTTTGAGATGCAGATGAATGTTTTCAGAGCTGAGTGTTTGATAGCTAGAGTGAGAAAACTATACATATAAAATATGTCTTACCTTTAGTATTGCTTAAAATAGAATGTTGTCCTATTACAGATGTGACAAAATAAATAGCCCTTCAGGACAACTATTTCACAAATGCATAATTCATTTCAATTCCCACCTTCTTTTTCTTTGCTTTTAGCCATCACCTAGAATACTTCAGACCTTTCAATTTTAACACGCTGCTTGGAGAAGAATGGAAACAACCGGAATCAGACCTGTGGCTAATAGAGAAATGTGATGTATAGGAGTGTAATAGATAACCATACTGATCATTTTTCTCTATGTCTTTTAAGATAAACAAAAAATAAATATCAATTTTTTAAGATGTCATGCATACATTTCAACAACAAATATTTTCATAGAAGTCACTGAAAATATCTGTGGCAAATTGCATATGATTAACAAGACAATAGATGATTCTTTGTAGATGTTTCATCTGTAAAGTCACAGTGTTTCTCACAGTCACTTAGTCCAGGATGTTACATTCCCAGCACACAGTACAGTTATTCTTGAGAACTACAGGTGAGAAAGGGGGGACAATTGAGTTTGTCCAAGGCCACCTAGAGCACTGTCCTGCACTACCTTGTGATTCAGCTATTTCATTCCTAGATATACACCCCAGAAAAATGACTGCTCATAGAAGCTTTATTCACAATAGCACAAAACTGTAAACACTCAAATTTCCATCCATAGGAAAATGGATAAACAAACTGCAATATAGTCAGCGGAATACTGTTCATTAAAAAAAGGACGCTGATACATGCAACAACCTGTATGAATCTCAAAAACATTAAGTAGAGCAAAACAAGCCAGACATAACATACTATCTAATTACTTTTACATTAAAGCCACTTCTAGGCAAAACTAGCATTTGATGATGGATACCAGAGTAGTGGCTGCTTTGAGTGAGGGCAGGGAATTCAAATTGAATGGAAAAGGAGCCTGAGGAAATGTTCTGGGGTGATTGAAATGTTTTGTATTTTGATCTGGATGACGGTTATGTAGTTGCATACATTTGTCAACATGCCTCATGCTGTATGTTTAGATTTGCGATTTTAGTATATGTAAATTAATTCGTTAATAAAATACTATTATAAAATAAGCTATAAATTAAATGGAATTAACTTCAAGTTTACATTGAGTTTATATGTGTCCATTGAACAATCATTAGTGCTGGTTACAAGTGGCTTATCGACTTACTCATTTCTTAAATATGTTCTCTCTCTGAAAAGGGAGTTAGTGTAAGATAAATGCTGACTTTTACAAAAAAGTATCCTCCTGACTACACATCATGGTGGCAGTGTTAGGCATCTTAGATAAATTGAGAAATTATTCTTAAAACTGACAATAGCTACTAATTAATTTGATATGGAAATGATCTGCCTGTTTTGGATAGGAATAGTATATTTTAAATAACCTAGGATGATTGATTTATAAATTATGTGAATAATTTTATAAATGCATATAAAACTATCAAAATAAAAATAAGATATATTTTAGAGTATCTTGATTTTAGAAGTGAATTGAACACTATGAATCACAGTTCCAGATATAAATCATAACTGTTTATAATATGGATAAAAATGCAGCACAAATATGATAGATACAATCACGGCAATATAAAATACTGAATTTGAATGTTGTGGCTTGTGAGCTTTCTCAAACCTAATGTGTATCTTTTTAAAATTTGTTAAGATTTTTTTAAACATCTTTTAACTTTCTTTCATCTAGATAAGACATTTCCTTTTTTTCCAATACCAAGCAAGCAAAAATACATTACATAAACATTTTCTTTTGAAAGGAACATGCATATCAACTACAGAATTTCGGAAAGCTTGTCCATTAGTCAGGTACAAATGATGTATCCTATAGAAATTTGTATTTGAGAGTGGGTGTTTGTAATAGCCATTTCAAATTTGTTTTTCAACTTCAGGACCATGAAAGGATAATCATCCTTTTGTTTAAAATATGCATAAATGCATTTCTTTGCTGTGATTTGAATTGTTCACTGCAGTATCAAGCAGATTCTCTCTTCTCACCACCTAAATAGATTCCACAGTGTGCATATTTATTCAGGTGCTTTCTCATGCTTTTTCCCAGCTCCAGGAAAGTGTAAATCACAGTCTGAAGGGAAATATGCTTTTCATTTTTGGCTCCAAATTACTTTTTTTGAATGTTAAAAAAGTTTTTGCCACAGGAAAAAAATATTTAATTTCCCCTCCTCCTTTTCCTCCTTTTTTAAATGTTAGACTTTTAGGGGACAGAAAATAATGAGCATAATTAATCTGATATTGAAAAAGAAAGGGTAGCAAGTGGATAAAACAATTACAGTAAGCCCTCAGCCCTTTTCTCATGCCTCAGAGCTTAAGGATTGTCTCTTCTTTTCCATGTAAGTTCCTGTAGTATTTTACACATTGCTTTATTAGAGCATTTATTTCACTGTGTCCTAGATAGCTCTTCTGACCTACCTCCCATCCTCTCAGCCTAACTTTTTACTCCAGCAATCAGTTGTATACAGTGAACTGACTGGCCAGTTGCCTTGGCTGTACTGTGTATGTCTTACTTCCTGCCCCTAGGGCTTCTCTGCTTCCTCTGCTGTGTGGAACACTTGCAGGAACCCATTTAGCCATTCTCACACATGAACTATCCTGGATGTGTGAAGGGACTAAAACATCGCATGGGGCACCTCTTGACCAAGGAGGGCGGGAGTTGATGGATAAATACTTCCCTGTTACATCCCTCAGTTTAACAATTCTATGGTCCGTTCCACACAGCTCCTCAGAAGTTCTCTTAAAAGGATCCCACTCTGGTTATCCACAACAGTGGCCAACTAGTAACACACTTTTGCATTATCTTTCCTTCATTTCCATCATTTTCTGTTTTGCTCTTCCTAGTACCTCTGTCCTCTCTGGAATTACTTAACTACAGTCAACCTCTTTGGAAGTTACTGTCCTATGTTTGCTTCATGGAGAACCCTGGCTAAGTCAGTGATTACCTAAAGTAGCCCTAGAAAGCAGCTCATCAGGATGGGAATCTAGAATTGTATCACAGGGCATTTGGTGACAAGGACCCCATTGTTGGTGGCAATGGCTCTGCTATAAGTAACTTCACAGTTATGAAACCTTTCATGGAGTGGTAGACTGGCTTGAGGTGCAGCTGAGGTACCTGAAGCTATGAAAGCCATCTAGTCATAATGACTCTTTGTGTCAACTGTTCAGCAGGCAAATAGAAGCATGATATTGGAAGAGATATTGATCCTGGCTACCATGCAGAGCTAGAGTTATAACTATTAATGGAGGCACTATAGAGTATGTCCTTCCTAGGGGATTCATTGAGGCATCCTTTGGTGCTTCAGTGTAAAGTGATAACCTTAAACAGGCAACTGTAGCAACCACAGCCTGACAAGGTAAAGCAACTAAAGACTGACCCTTTGAGGATGAAGGTCTAGGTCACCTCACCATTCAAACCACGTGAACCTACTGAAGAGGTTGGCCAAATGTGAGAGAAATACAGAATTTGTGGTGGAAGAGAGAGATGATAACTATCAATTATAGACTTGGAATCAATTACAGGAGCCACATAACTTGTTCCACTAAATCTTTTGCATTTAGTATTTGTGTAATGGCCCCCCACTTCCTTGAAGACTCTGTGACAGATTGGACTCAATGTGGAAACTGTGTGGCTCTGAGTGCTGCAAGGAGTGGACGGTATTTAATATCTCTTGTGTCCTACCTCACATCCTCTTAGGCCATTTTTCAATTCATACATTTTACTCTTTGATAGCACTTTACCTCTGTTGTCCCATGTGTCTCTAGATTTCTGTATTAGTGCTTTTCTGATACCTCAGTTATGTGGAACACCTGTGGAAATCTGCTAATCTACTCTGACATATATGCAAACCTGGAAGTTTGAGGGAATTGACAATAGGGACAGGATTCAGTGGATAAATGCTCCCCTTTTCTGTCCTTTGGGCAGAATATTCTGAAGTGCATTCCATATAGTTCCTTAGTGGTCTCCAGTAGGACTCCACTAGGGTCTTCAGTTACCTACAGTACTGATGAGCTTAAAAATACAATCTTAAATTGGCTTACCTTATTTAATTTTTCCAAAGTTCCCAGTCCCATTCTTTAGAATCACATTCCAAAATTAATGCACTGCACACAACGCTTTTTAAAGGCTCTGCTTTTGTTGGGGGTAGGAGAGGTATCCAGCCTAAGGCACCTAAGTCCAAGAGGAATATGTGCCTAACATATATATATATATTACATATATATACACTTATATATATAATATAGAAATATGTAATTTTTCTCAAAAAAATTCTCAAGAAAAAAATATATTTTTATAAATATATGTTTATATGTATCATATATGTTTATATATAGCATATAGAGAGAGAGAGCATAAAATGTGCTGTGTGTGTGTGTAGCATATTTTTTGTTAAATCACCATTCCTAGGCCCTACTCATTTTCTGATAATTTCTTATCTTAATTTTGCTCTGAAAGAGCAAAACTTATAAAATTGACTATTGCAACTGTTTAGTTTTTACTAATTATCATTTTTCATGGAAGGAATAGTAAAAAGAGTTACCCTGGAAGCTAAGATGACACATATATGAGGAATATAGGGAGCCAGAAGTCATGAATCTGTGAAAAGTGAGGGGTGTCTGTGCATATTTTATTTTATTTCACAATAAATAACCAGTAATTAAGATATTCTTTTCCATATAATGGGATCTATGAGTAAATTTTTGCCTGATATTTATATATCTAATATGTAGTATAAAGGAGAAATAGAAAATGCTGTCAAATGACATTTCACTTTACTACGTATTTGAATTACGTTGAAATAATATATAGCTACATCACTGGCTCCTGAGAGCTTTGTGTGTTCTGTAAATTTTTTACTTTGCACTCTTGAAAAATTCGCAGAGAGTGCAAGGTTTAGTAAAAATGTATTTTCTTTTGGCAGCCTATCACCTGTAATTTCCATTAAACAGTATTTCTGACTCAATAGTACACTGAAAACCCATGTTTGTAATAATGCCCTAAAGCACCACAGTACCTAGAGTATATCTTTTGAAAAGATAGCTTTGCTGAAATAGAAAACCAAACTGTAAATTGAAGTCTGAGCATTCAGAGAAATACACATTATACTAAATACAAAAGTATGTTTTTGAATTAGTTTTATGAAAAATGGCAAAAAGATAATATTACTTAGTGATATTATGTCATTAATGTCACTAAATATAATTAGTATGCTTTGGTATACATAGCAGAAACACCAAATGTCTTATACTGCACAATAGACTGGGCATTCCTTTTAGCTGCCTGACCTTGTGCAAGTCACCTCATTGAAATATCTAATACTTATTGAATACTTATTACTTTTTCAGAAACTATATAAAGAACGTTACCCTTACTTTTTACAGCAACCTCCAAGAAAGTCAGATACTCTTAGAATGCTTATTTTTAAAGTTTAATGAAACTAAGACGTACAGAGTTAATATCTTGCCCAAGAGCATACAGTTAAGAAGTAGTAGATTTGAACTCAGGGAATTTGATTCTCAAGAGAAGGCACTTATTTACTATGGTGCTGCCTTTCTTAGTCTTCACTACTCATTTACAAAATAAAGCTATTGAGAGGGATGTCAGCAAGATGACTGACTAGAGATACCTGGCATTCATTCCCACCACAATAAAGGACCAAGGCAATGAATAAACAGCTAAGATTTAGACTACAGTGTTGAAGGGAGAGTGCTGGAGTACAGTGGAGGAGTAGTGATTGGAAGTCTAGGAGGGTAATGTGGAGGTACCTGTTGTCTGCAGCTTCATCTTCTCTACCTGGATCAGATATACCTGGAGTCAGGAGAGACTTCACATGTGGAGAAAGGATAAGCAGGAGATCCCCACTGTCCCCCAGCCCCATTGCCACTGCAGACACCTATAGTCCTTAAACAGGAGAATCCCACAGTTCCTGTAAGCCCCAAGTCCATCTTGGAGAGCTGCAGGGAACTCATGCAGCTGTGTTGCACTGGATTCGGAGTACAAGGTGTATACTTCCCAACCCTACTCACCCACTCTGAGCTAAGCTGCTGCAGCATGGTGCCGTCTTGAGACCTGAGCCATCTCTGG